TGAATACCGCAGGAGAAGATGAGGATCTCAAGAAGAAGAATGTTGAAATATCTTACATCAGCTTGGCTGGGTGTGTAAGATTAGCAAACTTTATACTGCGTGGGTCACTGCCAAACCTTGAGGAGCTGGACCTCTCGCACACAGCAATCAAAATCCTTGACCTTGGAGAGGTGGTTGAAGTAACAAATCTTCAGCGGGTCTTCTTGATGGGATGCGGACAGCTCCGCTCAATTTCTTGGCCCAAAACCAAAATGTACAAACTAAGGCTGTTGTGCATTGACACTCGAGCAAGAGGAGGAGAGGTGGACAACAGAAAACCAGCATGGTCACGTGATTGTTCTTTGATGGTCTACCAGCACGACAAAGTAAAGGAGTATTGTCATGCATCTGTTGCCTTTGCAGACATGAGGTTCCTTCAGTCCTTGGAGTTTCTTTGGACAAGGGAAACCATTCGATGTGATAAGTGGAATCTCTGCTTGTCATCTACCAGCGATGATGATGGAAGAGGCTGCCACAAGGAAAAGATGGGCAGTCATTATAGCACTGGACAGCTAGCTGCTGCTCTGTCTCTGCCCAAGTCATTAACTAACCATGACGTCAGCATTGAACAGATATATGCAAAGATCGATATCAGCAGTAGCAGCAGCTCAGCGCAATTTCTGCCACCAGACTTGCACATGGACATTGGCGAGGGAATTAGTGACGTCACCGACAAGTCCAGCACGCGGGCAAGGGATGCAATACGTAGTGTGATGGACAGTGTGCAGTCGTTGCACGTTCACGACAGTTCTTCCATCACCACTATTGCGCCTCAACACATTTTTAGGGAATTTGAACAAGCAGGTGGTGGCCTTGACGGCCCAATAATGAATGGGCTCAAGTGGTGCTGCGTGGAACGATGCCCCAAGTTGGTTACTGTCTTCGCCACTAACTATTTCTGGAGATGCTTTTCTAATTTGGAAATCTTTTGGGCGGCTCATCTCTTGATGGCCCGTTCTATTTGGAGCAGACCAAGAAATCCAAGGTTGGATAAAAGTGATTTATCGTTTACACAACTGCGGGCTATTCATCTGCACTTCTGCCCGAGGCTCAGATATGTCCTCCCAATGGCTAAGAACAATACCTTATCCAAGGTGCTGGAGACTCTCCACATACACAGTTGCGGTGACCTCAGACAGGTGTTCCCAGGCTTTACAGTACCGGTAAGAAAAAATTTTCGGTCCCAGCGATAAATATGAAATTTCGGAAATATCGGTTCAAATTTAAATAAATTTAAATTGAGTTTTAAACAAATTTGGCATCATTTTACTAGAAAAACTCTATAATCCATCATCCATCATAAATTTATATAACATCGACGAAATAACATAATATATCACAGAAGTAGAGCCGCGGTAATACATTGTGCTGACGGTGGGCGAGCTGCATATACTAGTGCCGTCCAATGTGTGATTGAGAAAATTAAATAAATTTGAAGAAATTTAGGGCTTTGATAAGACTAGATGATATGGAGGGTCATTTTAGTGTGGTTTGGTGTAATTTTAGAGTGAAAGATGAATTTAACCGAAAATTTTTGACCGATACAAAAAAATTTCGGACCTCAGCGAAAAAGGCGATATTTCGGAAATTTCGGCGATATTTCGCCGAAATTGTAAACCCTGGGTGTTCCACATGGAGCAAGAGTTTCTGGAGAAAATAGAGGCCTTGCATGAAAAAGGCATGCTGGAATATTCAAACCTCGAGAGCCTGTACGTCAAGAGCTTTTTTTTGAACTGCCATTTAATCACCGTCGGTTCTTGGCTAGATCTGACAATGATAGCACCAAATCACTGTTGGTTCTTGGCTAGAACCGGTAGTGATAAGTGGTCGCCAACTCACTGCCGGTGCAAGCCACAAACCGGCAGTGATAGTGATGTGATCCTTCACTGTCGGTTTTAGCCCAGCCCCAATAATTTTCTTATTTTCAAGCTCAGAACCGGCAGTGAAAGTACATCACTACCGGTTCTCACAAATCCGGCAGAGATGAGGCCGGCAGTGATGTCTAAATCTGTAGTAGTGACAAACCCGCGGGTTTAATTAGTTTGTGGGTTGGAATGGGTTTGGTTGAACTATAAAAATATGGGGTGAGGTGGGTTGAAGAAGAGAGTTAATTTGTTATGGGTTGGATTGGGTATGGGGTGGATTTTTTTTTCTCGAATACGCACGAGTGTGCATATCATTGTATTAGAAGAGAGAATTTATAATACAAGAGTTGCACTCCCGGCCGTTAGTTTTTTATATATATATATTTTTTTTCGACAATCCGTGTCTATCCTGCAGAAATGACCTAGCCTTGCGCGCAAACAAGACGAGCCTGCATGCTCGGCCTGAATCCATCGGTCGGCTTCGTTAAATGATGATGTGTAGTAGGTCGGCAGCGGACGATATCGATTCCGGAAACACCTTGAGTTCCGTTCCTTCCATAGTTGCCGTGAGACGAGGGCGAAGAGGGAGTCCATACCGTTCGCCGATCGCCCGTTACTGCTCGACCGCAATCGGCGCCACCGGAGAGCGTCGTTTGGGAGACTGGTGGAACTTGTCAAGCCAAAAGCGCTTGCGGGACATAGTACAATACCTCACGGGTGAACGGGCATACCGCACCCGGCAAAGTGTTTAATAGCGCCACTCCATGTCGCTATGGTCCTCGGTGATATGGCCGTCGGCCCGCAGGTGCTGGATGTAGCTCCGTTGTTTCCTGCCTCTGGCGTCGGTGAAAATAAGCAGTTTCGCATCACCGTCGATAGTCTGGCGAATACGAGACCGCCGCTCGCCATTGCATCGTTCCAATGAGGATAGGCTCAAGCACCTCATCTTTAGTTGCTTCCCGAGACCATTCTCTACCGATGATAGTATCGCCGCTCTTCTTGAGCCTAGCCAAGCACTAGCTCTCTGGCCAGTAGAAGCTACGTTTTGATCTGGCCAATTCTTTTCTCCGACCAGCTCTGCAGCTGGCGCACCAGGTTCCTGAGCATCAGGTCCAGCCGTGCCAATGGGTCGCATGCCACCGTGGGTCGCTTCCACGTCTGGGCGATGAACTCGTCATAATCCTCAAACTTTGGCCAAAACACCTCGAAATGGAACCGGGGCTTGCTCATCTGGGCCAAGTTTGTAGCGCAGTGGTCGGAGGTCTCTGAACCCAGTCCACGCAGGTGCGCGTTAGGGAACAAGGTGTCCCAATCCAAGGAGACTAGGACTCTGTCTAGACGGACGAGTGTCGGGTTCGCGCGTTCGTTGCTCCAAGTGTAGCACCTCCCGTGGAGGTGGAGATCCTGCAGCTCCAGCGCTGCCACCGTTCGCCTGAATCTTCTCAGGCTTGCTCTGTCCACCCTGTCATTGCTCTTGTCTGCTTCGTTGAGGATGAGGTTGAAGTCCCCTGTCAGTGGCCATGGTCCGTGGCATGCATCCCTGATGGCCTCCAGTTCTTCAAGGAAGAGAGCCTTGTCTCCGTCGTCCTCAGAGATAGTTACATCAGGTTGGCGTCCTGCGATGAGGATGCCACCACGAGTTTGTGACGCCGGTAAGTAGGCAAACTCCGACAACGCAATGCCCAACATCGACAGAACCATTGTATCAGTGATTACATCGAGCTTTGTTTCTTGAAGGCACACTATGGACGGCCTTACGTCATCAACCAGCGTACGTATTGCATCCCGCCTTGCTCGCACGTTGAGGCCGCGCACATTCCATGACAATATAGTTGTGTTATCCATAGCAGCAGGACAACCGGGTGTTGTGGGGCCTAAGTTTAGGCCGCCGCGGCGAGTGGCCGGCGAGGAAGTGATGGCCTTGACGGCCCAATAATGAATGTGCTCAAGTGGTGCCGCGTGGAACGATGCCCAAAGTTGGATACTGTCTTCGCCACTAACTATTACTGGAGATGCTTTTCTAATTTGGAAATCTTTTGGGCGGCTCATCTCTTGATGGCCCGTTCTATTTGGAGCAGACCAAGAAATCCAAGGTTGGATGCAAGTGAATTATCGTTTACACAACTGCGGGCTATTCATCTGCACTTCTGCCCGAGGCTCAGATATGTCCTCACGATGGCTTCGAACAATACCTTATCCAAGGTGCTGGAGACTCTCCACATACACAGTTGCGGTGACCTCAGACAGGTGTTCCCAGGCTTTACAGTACCGGTAAGAAAAAATTTTCGGTCCCAGCGATAAATATGAAATTTCGGAAATATCGGTTCAAATTTAAATAAATTTAAATTGAGTTTTAAACAAATTTGGCATCATTTTACTAGAAAAACTCTATAATCCATCATCCATCATAAATTTATATAACATCGACGAAATAACATAATATATCACAGAAGTAGAGCCGCGGTAATACATTGTGCTGACGGTGGGCGAGCTGCATATACTAGTGCCGTCCAATGTGTAAGAAAATTAAATAAATTTGAAGAAATTTAGGGCTTTGATAAGACTAGATGATATGGAGGGTCATTTTAGTGTGGTTTGGTGTAATTTTAGAGTGAAAGATGAATTTAACTGAAAAATTTTGACCGATACAAAAAAATTTCGGACCTTAGTGAAAAAGGCGATATTTCGGAAATTTCGGCGATATTTCGCCGAAATTGTAAACCCTGGGTGTTCCACATGGAGCAAGAGTTTCTGGAGAAAATAGAGGCCTTGCATGAAAAAGGCATGCTCGAATATTCAAACCTCGAGAGCCTATACGTCAAGAGCTTTTTTTTGAACTGCCATTTAATCACCGTCGGTTCTTGGCTAGATCTGACAATGATAGCACCAAATCACTGTTGGTTCTTGGCTAGAACCGGCAGTGATAAGTGGTCGCCAACTCACTGCCGGTGCAAGCCACAAACCGGCAGTGATAGTGATGCGATCCTTCACTATCGGTTTTAGCCCAGCCATGACATCAGCATTGAACAGATATCTGCAAAGATCGATATCAGCAGTAGCAGCAGCTCAGCGCAATTTCTGCCACTAGACTTGCACATGGACATTGGCGAGGGAATTAGTGACGTCACCGACAAGTCCAGCACGCGGGCAAGGGATGCAATACGTAGGGTGATGCACAGTGTGCAGTCGTTGCACGTGCACGACAGTTCTTCCATCACCAGTGTTGCCCCTGAACACACTTTTGGGACAAGTATAATGAATGGGCTCAAGTGGTGCTGCGTGGAGAGATGCCCCAAGTTGGATACTGTCTTCGCCACTAACTATTACTGGAGATGCTTTAATAATTTGGAAATCTTTTGGGCGGCTCATCTCTTGATGGCCCGTTCTGTTTGGAGCAGACCAAGAGATCTAAGTTTGGATCCACGTGATTCATCATTTAGACGACTGCGGGCTATTCATCTGCACTTCTGCCCGAGGCTCAGATATGTCCTCCCGATGGCTTCGAACAATACCTTATCCAAGGTGCTGGAGACTCTCCACATACACTGCTGCGGTGATCTCAAGCAGGTCTTCCTCGTGGAGCAAGAGTTCCTAGAGAAAATAGCGGCCAGACATGAAAAAGGCATGCTGGGATTCCCAAACCTCAAGAGCCTATACCTGTATGATCTCATCAGTTTGCAACAGATCTGTGAGGCAAAGATGTTTGCTCCCAAGCTCGAGACCATCCATATCAGAGGTTGCTGGGGCCTGAGGCGTCTCACGGCCACTGACAGTCGCCGCCGTGAAGATGGCCGCCCTGTGGCCGTGGACTGCGAGAAGGATTGGTGGGATAAGCTGGAGTGGGATGGGATGAAGTCTGGCCACCACCCCTCCCTCTTCCAGCCGAGCCATTCCAAGTACTACAAGAGGCGTCACCTGAGGAGCACGGTTCTCCGCTGAGATAGCCGACGTGATCACCTACTTGCTGCTGGCTTCCTTCTTCTCCTGGTACGTACACACATGATCAAGCAACTTCCTCCCCTTAATTATTTGTAGTAATTTATTTCAAGTTAATTTTGTTTCATGTTCTGTGTGTGCTGATGTTGGATTGGATCACTCTCTGTAGATTCATATGGTGTTGGATCGACGGGATGACGACGACAGTGCTTTCTCTGCCACTCGGTATGCTTCCATATATAGCAATAGCAGTACTGATGCTGCTGTGGTCAACCAAGTTGCTTGCCAAGTCTTCGGTGTGTTTTCTCTCAAGACAAGAATGAAAATAATTTGGTCTCTGATGCTAGCTACCTACTTGGATTTGCATCAACCAAGTTGGTGTGTGTGTGTGCAGTGTGCAGTGTCTTGATACCGGCATGTGTGAATTCGTGTGTATCTCTCTTGAGAGAGGCCGACTGATGTATCCTCCTTTGCTTTTGTTTGGTTTGACTGATTATGTGTGCGCGTGTGCACTAGAAAACTTAAATAAGAGGCTGGGTCTGATGCCTCCACAGAACCAAACCCCATGGTGTGCTAGTGTTGGTTTTGAGTTTCATTGACTGTATTGGACACAATGTATGCTTGTCTGTGATCCATGCAGCAGCATGCTAATGCTGCCAGCAAATTATTAAATGGCTTGGTTTGATCTACATGGAGTGTTAACTGATTATTTGTTTCCAGTATTCATGCATACTACAAGTTTCGCTAGCTATAATAGCTAGTGTATGGGTGCATTCAGGGGAGAATAAGCAATAGCACTGCCATATAACTGTGCACAGTGTTTATCGGGTGTTGGTGTCGTGCGAATGGGGAGAGCCTAGCGAAAGGGGTTGTGCCCAGGCCCAACAGTGGTCCTCGATGTTTCCCCGTACGAGAACTCCCGCTACCTGCAAAATGAGATGCTTTATGCACAGTTAATTCACCATGGCGACGGCATGCGAAACACGTGGGCGGGGGGGGTGGGTTAGCTGCTTTATCCCTGGTCTAGCTGGTACAGTGCTTCTTTCTTTTCTTTTTTTGTTTTGCATTTGCATAGCTTCAGAAGTTGATTTGGCACTTGGGAGCACAAGTTTTGGGGTAACGTGCATAGGTAGCCGTTCTTAATTCTTATGGATTTAAGTTGTTCATCTGAATTTTGATACACCAAATTGACCAAAGTATGAGCATCTATAATTGTATATTCCGAATTACTATATTGAGCCTTGCGATGGTGTTCGCAGAACCAGAGGATCTCTGTTCTTCTGCTGTTGGTGGCCATTTTTTTTTGGGAGTTGGTGCTGCAAGCTTATTAGCTAGTAGTAGTACATACTATATCTATACGTAGCTGTTTTTCCAGAGAGGCGTAAGTATGGTGTGGTGTCAAACAAGAAAATGATGGTTAGTAAGAATGAACAGAGGTCTACATGGGTTTGAAGCCATGTAAACACAACAGTCCTAGAGAAAAGAACAAAAATAAATAACCTAACTTCGAGTACTGGCCGTAAAAACTTATTAGGGTTATAAAAAAGGTTTTTTTTAGATAATGGATTTTCATTGATCCGACCACTATATCCACAAAGAATATACACAGCCAAAAGGATATAAGAACACTTAGACTCACACCTCAACAAAGAGGAGAACGGACAACCAAAAAAAAAACTACGAACTCGATACATCCTTGCTTCCCAACATCCTCTCCTAAAATGGCCAGATTCAGTGAGTGGAAGTCGTCAAGTCCACCGCCCCTAGTGTGTCATCACTGCAAACCTCCACTGCTGCCATCTTCATTTGCTTCAAGTAAGCTGACACCATGCTGGTTAGCCCACCTTCATCCGTCGTCGTCCAGTCAGAACTAGCCGAACAGACGTGAGCCGACAGGATCCGCTTTCGCTTCATCGGATTCTTAGGCCTTCGCCACCCATAGGGCAGCCGCCGTCATTGGGATGGTCGTCGCCTCTGCTAGAGTCCTCTGTCGCTGCCGCCACTGCCCACGGGATCCGCCTCCTCCTCGCTAAGATCCTTGCACTAGCGCTCAGGCCGCCGCCGCCCTAGGGTACCAATAGACAATCGCTAGGAGCAAACAATCACCATGCCCGTAAGCCGTAGCCGCCTCTCCATGACCAAGCCATCCACGAGCAGCCTGCACGCCCTAGACAAGCCGCCATCGTGTAGCCTACGCCGTCCATGTGGCTGCCTGCACGCCCTAGGCACACAGCCCGGATGGGTATGCAGCGAATCTGTGGAGGGGAGTGAACCCAGAGACTGGCCGAGTCTTAGGGATGAAGAGTCATGACTACCACATATGGATTGAGCGGCTTCTTCCGTCGATGGTTCGAGGCTATGTCCCTGAGAATGTCTAGAAGGTGCTAGCAGAGTTGAGCTTTTTCTTCCGCCAGCTTTGTGCCAAGGAGGTATATGTGAAAGTGGTTGAGGAGTTGGAAAAAGCGGCACCTCTGTTGCTCTATAAGTTGGAGAAGATCTTTCCACCTGGCTTTTTCTTGTCGATGCAGCATTTGATTTTGCACCTCCCGTCCGAGGCACGAAGGGGGGGGGGGGCGTGCAGAACCGTTGGTGCTATCCAATTGAGAGATGTCTAAAAACTATTCACAAGAAATGTGGAAACAAAGGCAGGATGAAGGCTTCCATTGCTAAGGCATTCATTCATGAGGAGGTGTCAAACTTCACAAGAACATACTATAATGAGAACCTTCCTAGCGTGCATAATCCACCCGCTCGGTACAACGAGGACGAAAATGAATCGACCCTTAGCCTTTTCAAAGGGCCACGCGGGAGAGCAAGTGGAGCGACCACAAAGACCTTGAGCTATGAAGAGTGGCGCAAGATCATGCTCTACGTGTTGACCAACCTTGACGAAGTATGCCTAATTTGATCTTCTGATATGTCGTCTACTTGATGTCCTGTAGGCGATTCCAAGCTGGTGCACCACCCACCCCGATTGCTGGGAATATATTGTGGACACCTGGTTGGACGGGGACTTGTAGAAGAAGCACGAGGAGGCCCACGACAGGCGTTTGCAAATGTCAGGTGTACCTCACCATCAGGGAAGCCGCATCCTCAGCAAATATGCAAAGGCATATGTAAGTCTCCGTCATTGCTCTAATCTAGCCGCGCTCAATTCTACATCATTTCTAACAACATGTTGTTGTCTTTCTCGTAGTTGGATGCACACGGTGGCCAACCAGTTGGTCAACTCAAGGCATATGCTCTAGCTCACATGGGCAAGGCGATGGCCGACATCGAGTACGACCCAGATGCCCCGCTTGAGGCGTACACCAACTCCAGCGTCCACACCCGCCTCTCTTCGTACACGGAGGCGGCAAGGTCAGTCCATGGGCCGGGCTATGATCCAAGAACTGAGGAGCGCCTTGATCCTCAGCTCGTGATGAGGGTGGGGCAAGGCAAGAAGCATAGGCGGTTCTGGATTGGCGATGGCGTCCTCGACACGGCCTCTACTCCTCCTCTCTACCAGCTCTGAGCAGCGAGCACGAGATCAAGCGTGCCCATACGCCAATGGCCGACCGCGGTGTCGGCACTCTAGGTAAGCATTCCTGTTTCATTCGTTGTTCTTTGACTTTTACACATATGCATTATTGAAACATTGGGGTCAAATGCAGAGGCCCAGGTGTAGGAACTGCAGGCCGAGCGGGAGGCCGAGCGGCAGAGGCTACAGGCTTTGGAGGCCCAGTGGGAGCAAGATCAGCGGCAGATGGCCGAGATGATCAAGTTCATGCAGCAAATTGGCCAGCAACAAGGTTGGGCGATCCCATAGACGCTGCTTGCTCTAGATCCACCTCCACAACGTCCTGATTCTACCCCGGTGAGTATAAGTATGAAGTTTTACTTTCTATGTTGAAACTTAGAGAAACCTAGTGAAACCTAGAGAAACCTAGTGGTGGTGGTGGTGGTGGTGTGGTGGTCATGGTGGTGTGGTGGTCATGGTGGTGGTGGTGGTGTGGTGTTGGTGGTGGTGGTCACGATTGTTGTGGTGCTTATGGTGGTGGTGGTGGTTGTGTGGTGGTGGTGGTGGTGAAGTGTTGGTGGTGAAGTGTTGGTGATGGCGGTGATGTGGTGGTGGTGGTGGTAGTGGCGGATATTTATCTTGCATATTTATCTCTTCTCTTGTCGCTCATGTGTAATCTCTTCTATTTTGTGCAGCATCAATCAGGGGCGGCGTCGAACCACCTCGGAGGGTCGCCGGGATCGCACATTGGGCCATCCCAACCCGGACCGTCGCCGTGAGCTTCAAATGGCAGCCGTTGTGATATAATGCACTTGTGAACTTTGCTTGTGTGTTTGGACTTTGGACTTGGGAGTCGAGATTGTGATACTTGTATGCTATGTTTGTGTTTGTGGTGGATTGTGATATACATTTGTGTGATATATAGTTGTGTTATATATATATATGATGTATATCTTGTTTGCAACGATGGAAGACTAAAAATCAAAAAAAATTGAATTTTTTCACTTCTTTGCCGAGTGTCATGACCATGACACTCGGCAAAGCTGGGAATCTGGGACACTAAGCTTCTCAGCTTTGCCGAGTGCCATGGTCAAGGCACTCGGCAAAGAAAATTAAAAAAAAACTGCTTTGCCGAGTGCCTACCTACAGCACTCGGCAAAGAAAATCCAAAAAAAAAGAAAACAAGCTTTGCCGAGTGCCAGATGCAGGCACTCGGCAAATCATTTTTAAAAATAAAAATAAAAAACGTATTTCTTTGCCGAGTGTCGACGCGTGGCACTCGGCAAAGGGGCCGTCACCATGACCTGGCCGTCACGACGGCTTTTCTTTGCCGAGTGCCGTCGTGGCACTCGGGAAATCCTTTGCCGAGTGCCCGATATGCAGCACTCGGCAAAGAAGCATTTGCCGTGAAGGGATATGCCGACAGCTCTTTGCCGAGTGCAGCACTCAGCAAAGCACACGTCTGCTGTAATGATAGTGAGTGGTACTTGTTACTTTATTAGTC